CGCGCGATAACGACCGACCGACCGACTCGGAAGCGGCTTCTGCCGCGCTGCGATATCACGCCTCTTACAAATCGTATGGAAATAACCGCGCCGCTGCGAACGCGAACCCGATTATTATCTACGTTTTTCTTTCTGCAAATTCTCCATGTAATCGTGCTTAAGCCCCGAGGCTTGCCCGAGAGAGTCAGAACTTGATTGTACACGTAATGTTCCGCCGTACAGCGTATGCATTACAAATATTTTCTTTAATGAAATGACGTGCAATATTTGGTATCAAAATATTTGAAGAAAAATGTAAAAATTGTCAATTACGCTAATAAACCTTTCGCTTAACGTCGCAGCATTTGCTTCGTCGCGTTTCCAGTTTTATAAAGTTGACGTAGGTAACAACATGTTGCAACAATTGCGCGCGCCGTCCTTCCTCGCGAGAGTATTTATTGTGCCGATTTATTAATTAACGGCGCGCGACGCGGCGCACCCAGCGGCCCTGTCGCAAACATTCCCGACATTGCATTTCTAACAATCCATTCGTAAAAACACCGTCCGCTCGCAATTGTTTCCTCATCCGTTTAACGTGGCCTCGACGCGAGTATAATTGTTTACCGTTGTTTACGCTCCCCGCGTATTCCGCGCGTGCATACGAGATTGCGATCGTCGCCACGGGACGATTCGATCCTGTCGATAAATCGCTCGTACAGGTGTTACGGGCGTTCCCGTCGTCGTCGTCGTCATCAACGTCGTCGCGCACGTCATAAATCACGCTACGCGTGATCTAGGACCGCGGTCGGATTTCCGTCGCGTTCGACTCCCGGGGCATCTGGGTGTGTTGAGCCCCGTATACCCGTCGTGACTCGCGCAACGATGCCGCGCGCGTTCGATACGCGAAATGGAGAACGGATCCCTTCGGTAGGGCAATCACGTAATAGCATATCGCGCGGAGGGGATCTAAATGCATCCCCTCGTTAAAGAGAATAAACACGAGGGAAGGGAAGGAAGGAAAGAAGGAGGCAAGGATTTCGAAAGATTGATTATTGGTCTTGTTGCTCGAGAAGTTACAGAAACGTTGTTTCAAGTTTCAAGCTAACGCAAAGCTCTTCGTGACCAGAGATTAGAGAAGAGGAAAATTCCGTTTAAAAGAAAAAGTCGCAACGGGTGCTCGCCGTTTTCTGCCGTTTTAGCTGTGTTGAGCGACCCTTGGCGGGGACCTCTTCTTAATGATCGAAGAATGAACGGGACGTGCTTCCGTTTCATCGCGACTGTGTTCCGCCGCCGATGGTCGCGCGATAAGCAGCGGCACGAGTGCGCGTTTTCCCGCTCCTTTAATTAAAAAACTCGCGCGCGTGATATCGTCGGGAGAGATCGCGTTACGGCGGAACGGAGCCGCGATATTATTTTTCTTTCGCGGATATCTTGCGAATTGCAATTTCCTATACGGGCGAAACTTTGTTTGGCCGGTGTTTTTAAACTTGTCGGTATTGTGTCGCGCGCGTACTCGCGTGTCGTATTATCGTCCCTTTTAAAGCTGGCATTCTCTGAAAATCGAAAAGCAGTGCTAACGAATCGCGGCACAATGTTCCCATGTTTTTTTATTGTTTTGTGAACAAATTTTGTAAATTAAATAAATTTATGATATTACACGATAATCGCAGTTCTAATCTCTAGATTTTAATATAGAAAATTTAATTTTATTCGCGATAGAAATAAATTTCTTATGAACTTATTTTCAAATCGCTTTTTGTAATATAAAACACAATCGTGTGTTATTCTCTCGGAGCCTAATACTCTTATTTTATTTATAATCATGCGTGCAATATTTATTTATTTATTCAATTATCTAGATATTTAAATATTTTATTTTTAATTATGTGTACAGGAAATATTTATGTATTTAAATATTTCTACATTTCATAATGTGACGTAAAAGTAAATATAATAAATAATGAAATATGAGAGACATAAAGATAAAAATGCCGCGCGTGCGCGATTTAACAATAAGTTTCGCTAACGAGAAGTCGATTGAGAATACATTTGCATTCCGCGATGGCATCCCGCAGCGCGATGACAAGGTCTGAAACACGAAAGAAGGTGACGGGTAAAGGGCCGGCTGATGTTTTCAACACGAAATATCACATGAGTATAGTATACAAAGGGTTAATTGCGTTCTGCCACGTTAAGGCGCGATTATGCGGTGCGGTCGGTCGATTTCACGGAGAATCACCCGCTGTAATGCTCTGTGCTGCTTCGAAACAAAATCGCGCTTGCATCATTGAAAACTACTTTTGCATGTTACTTAGCAGAACGCGAGGAGAGAAGTACTCATGCATATTGAAGGCTCGGGACGTACTCTCGTAAGATTTTTATTTCCGACTTCACGAGCCGTCCTCAATACTTTCGCTAAGCGCCTATCGCACGGCTTTTCGGAGCCGAGAAAACAGATTTTGACGTACGTGTTTTTGTTTAACAATTTAAACATTTTGAAAACATGCCACACGCGGAATTGCATAAATCACATTTTTATGTGAATATTACAAAAAGAAAATAAGGGAAATATTACGCGTCGAAGTATTACGTTATTACGCAGTAAGAATGTAATTATTATTTCTCTCAAGTTCCGGTAAAGTTTACGCGTTCTGCCTTATGAGCGTTTGATTATAAATACTTGTAAGGTTGCCGAAACCTGCGTATATTTGTGAAATTTCAGTCCGCTCACGAGGATTTCGGTGCAGTTTTCATCTCTGCTGGGAAATTTCGCGCGTGCCAAGCGATACGGATTTCGTGACTTGTCAGCATGACGTGTCGCACGTGCCAGTTTCTCTCTCTCTCTCTCTCCTTCTCAGTGGCTGCTAGGTAAAATTCCGAGCGTATCTTGAAAATCCATTATCTTCGGCGAGGGGCAAGTAAAATTTACTTTCAACCTCACCCGCGCGCGTATCCCCTGAATAATTTATTTCCTTTAATACGCCGAGTATCCACCATCCCATTCACTCGTTCGGCGATTATCCCGGCTGTTCGCTGTTTGCATAATCCGTCGTGAAGAGTGCATCGCGTCTGCATTATATACGGCAGTCTTACCGTGCGATGCTTTAATCGAGTTCGAGTAGCAGTAGGAGGACGAGTAATCGTTTCAATGGTCGCGATATCTCACCGGAACTTTCGTAGAATTATATCCGTTTGACATTTCCACGCGAAATTTATGGAAATAATTTCTTTCGCGGTAGTTCAATTATAAATACCGGACTCTCCTTTGACAAGCTGGCGAGAAGTTTCACTGTTCTTTGTAATATATACTTATATAATACAATACAATATAATATTAAATATGTAATAATACTTCAAATTAATATTGTGTTACTTACAAGCATTGATATTTCGATCCAAAGAAAATCTACTTTAAATTAATAAAATTAATAAAAAAATCTGCTATGAAAATTGGACAATTACGAGAAATAATTTGATTTTTAATAACGTCGAACAATCGAATTGATTAAAAGTCGCGATTTTGACGTTATTGCAGAATAATTTGCACGGGACGCGCATTGACACGTGTACACGCGCGATAATTTTTCATTCTCATAGATAAGCTCATAGAAAGTGTCGTCAAAGAAACGGCTGAAAGAGCTGCGCCGCGCGTAGAGGAGCAACGTCGCCGGATAATAAATCGATAATTCGTGTGCGCGACTTCCGACCCTGGGAACAAGCAAGCCGGAGAAAAGAGGGCCGCATATGTCGGTGACGGTTTTTTTCAGGGCTCTCGTTTGTCTCCAGAAACGGCCGATTTGCCGTTTGATTATGCGACGGAGTTGGCCATCTCTTCGTGGTTATGTCGTTTTGCGTTTTCAGAAAGGATGACGGATGAGGCCAGACGTTAACGGTTTCTTCTTTTTTTGTTTTATAGTCCCGCGTTCGCGTCTGATGGATTATTTGTCAGATACGCAATTTTTTTAAATTGTTTTCCGAATGTCTGACTAAATTGTTTTCATTTGTATTACTATATTGTCCATTTAGTCCATATGATCTCCGATACATTATGGGTATTTATGCAACACTTATTTCCTGGAAACAGAAATCTTTATATCATATATCCTTATTGCGTTCAGAATACTATATATTCTCACTAGGCCTATTTCTACCAATGCAGATTATTTTTAATCTCGATTTAATTTACTCTTTATTTTTTTCTAATTCTAAAAATTAGAAAAAAGTAAAGAGTAAGTTAAACTGAGATTAAAGTTATTCTACATTGATAAAAATGGACATTTGTCTAATTAAATTCTAAAATGTCTTCCGTTATTTTCGATTACTTTGACTATCGAAGATTATCCGGAAGTTTTACGATAAACTATCTTTTCGACTTATTTACTCTATTTATTTGATAACCTTTAAACTACATACACTCTTCGCGCCGCAGAAGCTATTTTTAATCTCATAAAGGGCTTATGTTCAGACAGATATTATTAATCCTCCACTGGAAATAACAGTCTCACACACATGATGGGTGTCATTTTTTTAATTACTTTTTACGCGCGTTTTTACTTTTCACGTGTACATTCCAGTATGCATTTTCACCGTGTAAACTTGGAGACACGGCTTGAAAAGCACGTTCAATTTTATCTCATCCTGCACGCGGATAGCGTAATTATCGTCAATTGCATATACCGCCCCTTTAATCCCCGTCCAACAAACGCCGGGGACTGTTCATACATTTCCGCAGATATTTGCTCTCTAATTATTTTCTCTCATTTCATCAGCAGACAGCTGACAGACGCGCGATGCTCGCCCGCGCGTGAAAACCTCATTTCATATTATATTACCCGATCATCCCATCGCCGATACATGTTTTCTGCGTAATATTTTATTTCACGTGCCTAACCTCCTCGCGGAGGATGTTTGTGGAAAACATCGATCAAAAGCACTTACCTGTTATTGCGGAAAAGACTTGCTCTCTTTCTCCTTCCGGGTGCAGCGTGGGTGAATATAACTCGCTCGCTCTTAATTTGCAGAAAAATGAAGCTCGACCTGGACCGGGAGAAGGGCCTCGAGCTCTTCGGCAAGCTGATACGTACAAAGAACATCGAAAGTCTGCAGGGTGATCAGCCCAAAACTGGTCCCGAGCCACTTCATCCAGCCGACTCCAAGCAGAAATTACAGGTAAAAATAATGAGAGAAAATACTGATACCTGTACGTGTAACTATTATTTTCTGTGACAGCGATACAGATTTAATTTAAGAACTTTGCATTGGAAGTTCGCTAAACGTCAATTAGTACTTTTAAGCGTGTACTTTAAAATGAAATTGAAACCGTATTGACGCGACTCTTGTCTTACTTTATTGGCTTTTCATATCTTCATTGCATTGCGGCTAGTCGTTTTGTTTCCTCCAGTTGCTTGTCGGAATTGTTACACGAACGAGCAAAGAAAACTGTAGGAGTGTAGTGAGGTAACTGAAAACGAGTGTGAGGGGTAAATTAAAGAGAGGCGGACGTTTAACAGCGCTCGTTGCTCCTAATTACCAATTGGAGTGGCGCTCCAACTTTTAGAGCGGCGAGAATAAAAGACGTGTGTGCGGCCGCTAACAGAAACTCGCGAGGGAAATTTGACTTTTGCATTAACAAAATCATAATTCTCGTAAATAATAGTTGTAAACACAATTTCGTGCGACATGAACGACCGACACGGGGGCATCGTCCTGCTCGTTTCGAATTTGTCCCAATAAGCTAAAACGCTCCTTCATTTCGTTAAAACGACGATGACAGTGCCTATTAGGGGACACGACGAAGTTCCGCGAACGACGAAGTCGGATGTGTAAGAAGTAAATGCGCGTTGTACACGAAAGGACATGTCGCTGGGAAATTTGTCGTTTGGGCGAACGCCGAGTTGCCCTAATGATAATTTCTCGATGAACCGTATGGAATCCTCCGTGTATACATATTATACATACATATATATATGTATGTGTATATGTATTCGCGACGGTATTGTCGTCGCAGTAATTTTGGCGCTCCGATGGCCCGTATCGTGCGCTAAAAGAAAGAGACACGGCAAAACTTTCGTAACTATATCTCCGGTGGCGGCGACGGTCTCCGCAAAGCCGTTACTTTGCTTAGGGTGGACGGCTCCGCCACAGTTGCAGCGCGCATAAACCGCGAAGTTTCCCAATAACCGATCCACTTCTCGCAGGAAAATAGCACAAGTCCAACACACACACACACATTTATATGAATACACACACAGACACGCGGAACTGTCTGCTCCGGCTAAGACACAAATTTTATCTAATGCGAAAGTAGCACGCGACGAGTCAGGACGGAGGGGAAGAGGCCACCAGGTTCCGAGGGAACACGGGAGAAGCGTCATGCAGGCTCGTTACGCGATTGTCGTTGATGGAAACGAGGGGGAGTATCGGATCGACGATTTATTTTTGCCGACGGTGCTCAAACGATCGTTCCGTTTCGTTCCGATGGGAGAAGACTTAATTGCCGGCTCTTCAATTTAGATCGCGAATCGAATCGCGAGTTCGTTGCGTAACGAGAAAGAAGATCCGTTGATTACGGCACGACTTTCAAAAGCGATGGAGTTACATCGAATTTTATTTATTGCGTTTTACTCGTATATTTCATTGAATATTCGTCAGGCCCGTAATGCTCGATCATCCGTCGAATTGTACACGCGCCACGAGTTTTGCTCGACGAACGAAGGATAAACAAATTGCGCCGCTCGCTTCGTTGCTCATCGAATCCATCCGTCTGCCGCCTTTCGTCGAAAAAGCGGCGCGCGCGGCCTCAGGAATTACGAGCGTAACGACGTTACACTCGTCCCGGACGACCATCTCGAACGATTTCCCGCGAGAGACGACTTCCGGTATTTATTATACTGCGCGCACGTAATTCCGGCCCTGTCTGCATTCCTCATTCGCTATTCAGCTTGCTCGCCCGGCATAAAAGACACGCAGGATTGCGCTGAACCACGCAATGATGACACCAACACCCGAATGTCCGCCCACGATTAGGCGATCGGTCATCTTCACCGCGGAATTAAGAGATGATTTGTTACTTATTTAAATAAAATGTTTTGTTCTTTTATTAAATATATCGTATTACATTATATTAAAATATGTTGCATTATGAAATATAATTCTTTTTCTCTCTTCTCGCCCTTAAATAATTAATTTGGCCTAAGTAATTACTTAATATGACAGAATGTAAGTGATTAACTGCTTTTAATTAATTTAAGTGGAGTTTAACAAGCTCTCTGAAATACCGCCAACTCAAACTTTATTGAAGATACGTTAGCTTCAAAGTTTGACAAACGTTTTGATAGCACGAATTCTCAGATTTGACTCTATAATCATGCTTAATATTCGCATTTTAATTTTTTCTTTTCTGAAGAAAGACACGTCTCCTCTTTTTCTTTTATATACCCAAAGCCCTCTCCTCGAAACGTCGTTAATGTTCACGATTTAATCGTGACTATCGAGAATTGAATGAATGTCCAAGATCGAATTTAGAAAGGGCGATATATTTCTCTCGGATTTTTCTTTTCGGAAACGCCGTCGAAAATTCCCGCGCACGAGCGCATAAATCAACGTTACGTTATGCGTCAACGTTGCGTCGGACGAGTGCGCTGGCAATAATTCACGCAGCATTTGCATTAATCCACGATATTGCACTCTTCATGTTTCAAACAACGCAACGATACGTTCGGCGGATCAATGCCGGACGCTCGGCGAAAACCCGACGTTACTAATCGCACAAACTGCATTTTCCATCATTACCGCGCAATTACTTCTCAATGGAAATTGACTAATTGTAACGTTATACCGCGGCGCTAGATAATTCGATTCGCCGGCCATTGGAGACCTTGCAACTTTAGCTGCAATTTCGTGTGACATTCGATATGCGATTCCTATACTTGCTGAGTGCAACACGCCGTAATTTGTCTCCTTTTGATTTAATAGCAATTGCAAAAAATGCTATTCTCTGTTTATTATGCGTTGCTTCTGCGCGTTTGACTCAAATTACCCTTGCGTTTATAATGAGACAAACGAATTACTTCTTATTAAACAAACAGAAAAGATCCAGCGCGTCCGATGCGATATCCGTTCGAATCCAAGCGTCATTAGAGAAATAATTATCGCCCGCAGGTGTGTATCAATAATTCACAAGTCTTATAAATTATAATTTATAACGTTCATCCCTTGTCACCCACGATCTCCGTTTCAAGCGTATGGAATTTGCGCGAAATATTCTCTCTCGGTAGGTATAGCTACCTTCGTGAATCGTTAACTGTGAGAGCTGAAACAGAGATCATCACCGCTCGTAATTGTCACTGCTCTGTAAGAGACGATAGCGATTCGGTATTTCCAGGCCCACTTGTCGCGACCGCGTCTCGAGTGATAACACTGTAGCGCAGGAACGTGACTGCGTACACAACAGTACGCCGAAGGTAATAAACTCGAAGTACCGTTTACCAGTGCTAACGATTTATCGTCGTCACGATAAGTACGTAACGTGCGTGATAAAAGGAAATAACTAAATATTCCGTGTTTCTTATATTATAAGTGAATCTTTATGAATAATCGATATGACATGATTTTTCTGATTCGATTTATGTTTACTTCATCATTAGTATTAGGACATAATAGTTTGCAATTTTCATTTTCTATCGTTGCAATTTCCAATATATAAATCACGAAAGTTTTACACAATGCGTGGCGATTTATTTCCATTTTATTACTTTGATTTTTTTATTTATTTGAATTACATAATTTTCTTCTCTTAGAATATAAAAATTTGAAAAGATGTAACAACAATAGATTAAATTGCACGACAACTTGTCGCTTGAAATAAAGAAAAATTGTTCTTTAAATATAAATACAGATTTAATTTGCAGACTCATTGTCGAATTATAATTTAACAATGACAACTCAATCAAGCGGAATTATTAAAATTATTTTAATAATTAAACAAGTCTACGAAGTTGTAAATAGTGATGCATTCATTAACATTTTAATTGAAGTTGATTTTGACATTAAGTTTAATAAATCTCTCTCTAGTATATTATTTTCATATCTTGTTTTTTTTAATGTCTTAACATACTTTATATCTTTTCTTTTTTTAACGTTTTAAATACTTAATCAAATGAAATTATTCTTAATTGGATTATTAAAATCGTTAGATCTACAGATGAGTGATGGTACTCGACGAATTTTACTCGTCATCCAAATATAGATGACATGGCAGTCAAAGTGTTAAATCAGTTTGAAGGTAAAAATTATATTTTGGTGTAAAATTTTGTTATTGTTTGTTATTATTTGTTATTAATTATAAGTAAACATTAAATATTTCATTGAACAAAACAAGTCGATTAACGCAAAGCCTTGATGCATGTTTTGTTACATACACGAAATCGCTGCGCTATATCATGTTTGTGCAACCGCGACTCGAGCGGATAGGCATTGTTATCGTGGTATTATTCTCCGAAATGCCACCGTCGACAAGTACCAGGCGAGAAACGCTCCGTTAAATCTACGTGATTAGTTAACTCCAACTTGTGGACGTATCGAGGCGACGACATCAATGGTTAATCATCAAAACGGATACATCCGACTTATCGCTCGGGATATTTTTTTAGTTGCACACAAGTAAAATCCAGACAAAACAAAGTCTAAAATTGGGATCCAAGACATCTTTTAGACGTCTCTCATAAATGTCTTTAAAACGTCTTGTATATCTCAATTTTAAATTTTGCATTGTCTGGAAATGTTCCATTTAAAGTTGGACAAGATTCGCAATTCGCTGTCCGATCCCAGTCCGTCATTCTGCCGTGGCTGTCAGTTAATAATCGCCGAGAGGATACTCTTCGCGATCACTTTATTTTCATCCGTGCCGAGCATTTTAGCCGCTCCCATAACCGACGTGAGAGAGAATCCCCCCCGGAGGGCTTCGCGTTTATTAATAACTATCGGAGGCGAGTTGCAAAAATGGCAACTGACATTCTAGAAAGAAGTCGACTAGAAGACGCAATTGTTTCTAACTTCAAAGATGCATACGAGTGCGGAACACCGCAAAAAGGATCCTCCCCCCTCCCCTTCTTCGTCGTGTCTTTCCGGTAAAGCGGCGGCAACGCGAGAGGTCACGTTTCTCGCTCTTTTCCATCGCTCGCTACATTATTTACTATACCGTTACGTATTTAGACCGGCGTTGCGAGTTACGATTGACGGTAATGGTTGCGCGACGTCAAACATCTTTCCGCGACAATTCACCGATTTTTAAAAAAGTACGTGACCAGATAAAAAATCGAATATATAGGAATTTGTTGCACCGGCGTACGAAATAAAAAAAAACGATGTTCCGAACAATAATTTATCTGTGTCAATTATTTTGATGGCAAAAGAAAAACAATTTCGATGTAATACCGAAATAAATCACTCCACGGAATTATTTTTTATTTAGGTTAATTGTTCCGAATAAAACAACCGAATAATGAATTTCCGCCTCTAGTTCGCGAAAATAGATTACCGCGTGGCAAAAGTGCAATTTAATGTCAACGTAGTTGAAATAAATATTTGAAATTCGCTTGAAAAGGAGTATAAGGAATTCTTTCAACATACAGACGAGACAAGAATCTTACTTAGAAGTCGTGTAAATAATAGACAAGTAGACAAATTCTTCCTGATAAATTACTGCACGGGCGGACATCGTATTGTAGTTTAAATTCACTTGAAAATTTTGTCTGCGTCCTATCGTTATTTAGAGATACGAATTTTCTACATTTCCGAAATGATTACCGTTTGCAGAAGTGCCTGACGACTCTGGACCTGACGTCTTTAGGAGTTGGCTCCTGCGTCGGGACAGGGATGTACCTTGTCGCAGGAATGGTGGCGCGCAGCGTTGCCGGACCTGGTGTCGTCTTCTCATTCATTATCGCAGCCATTGCTTCCATTTTTTCCGGTAAGTACCTGCACGCCTTTCTGAACGCAGAAAGCGGATAAGAAAACGACGACCGCGCTCTCCCGCTCGACGGTCATTATATAGGCGAGATGGCACGACAGCAAAGCGCGAGAGAGCGGATCGATGTCGCAGAATCGTTGTGCGATGCTCAAAGGGTACAATCGCGCGTTTCGAACGAACTTACACCGCGTCTAATACGATTGCTATATAAAAGAGACTTAATCGGGAGACGAAATCGATTGCGTTGCCTAAACACACGCGATCCCGGCGTCGCGAATTTAATTGTTCGACGTTATCTGCAGGATCGTCGGGTCGGTGACTCTATCGAAGTAGCTCCTCGCTCGAGATCGCCGTCGTCGCAGGCCGCGCCTCCCGCACGCGATCCCACCGCGATTCCACCGCGTTATTACCGCGGCGGCGGTTGCACACGTACCCTCGTATACGGGGCGCCGACTTTGCACGGTTCACGCGAGCGGAATACGAAAGTAGGGATTTATTTCTGCCGCGATTCACAATCCCGCGGCCGAAGGAACGCGCGCGCGCGCAAGAGAGAGAGAGAGAGAGAGAGACAGAAAGAGAAGGGGGAAGAGTATGAGGGTGGAAGTGGCCTTTAACCGATTGCGGCGGCAAAGGGTTTTCCGACTATTTTTACGAACGATCAATTCAACGATAGACAGGTACGTGTGCGCCAAATGTATCATGTGGGTGTGATGTCAATGCTTCGACGGGGGCGGCCGCGGGAGCGGATAATACCCCTAACTAGACACGATGATGTATGACATTCGTGAATAAGTAAATGTTTAATCGGAAGGCCACTATCTCTCCTTCTCTCTCTCTCTTTCTCTCTCTCTCCGAGTTACATACGTCCGAATCTATCTAATCTGTTTACATCTCCGCCTTCTTCATTCAACTTTGAAGCAGGATTGTAATTAAATGATATACGAGCGCTTGTATCGTGCGCGCAAGTTATAACGATAATTGAAACGTTACGTACGAGCAGTCAAACTGTCCGAAAGGCGTATAAATGAAACGTTTGCATGCGCTAAATCGTCGTTATACGTATATGTATATATATATATATATATATACAGCTCGCGCGATCAAATGACGAGGCGGCAACTGTACACTCGCTCGAGATGAACCTTTATTGTAAAATGCACAACGATCGCGCGTTTCTCCCGCGATAGTTCAACGCGGGGTGCGACGGGTCTTCTCGGCTACTTTCTCGCCGGGAAGAAAGCCCCGATAGATTTCTGCAGCGCGATAAGTCAGGTATCCCTCTCGCGCGCGCGGCAGAGCGTAGTAGACTCGAGGGAATTTGTAGTCCGCGGTATACGGCCGCGGATAAGAAGCTTATACTGTAAAAATATGGATTTCGGCGGCGGCGGGATATATGATGCGGAAAATTCGTCTACCACGGTCGGTGTACGTTATATGCACGTATATGTATACAGTATATATCACGTACAAATCCAACCCGTCGAGGCCGCGATGCCGCGAGCGGATTTAGACCGCATAAACGCGTAATTCTGCAGAATCTCGCGCAAATCATCCTCAATGTTCACGAGCAACCGGACGCGCTACATGCATTGCAGCAACGAGGAGGCTTCGCGAGAATCAAACTGAAATGAAAGAGATCACACAACTGTTCTCAACAGCAGATGAACAATTTTGAACAACTTAAGAATAGCTTTGTTATAATTCAAAGTTGTATACGCTCGGTTACATAGTATCACTCTCTCGTATACGAAAGTTGTTTTTTCTTTTTTAATATGACAGGATATTTTGTACGTAAATCTTTCTTTTTTATTTCGCGCAGCGAAAACTCTTTTAGAAATCAGACACCAGCGTGGAACAATTAAAAATCGCAGCCGCTGACGCGCTGTTACGCGAATAGTTTGCTCTAACTATACACGAGAGGTACTTACTTTACATTTACTTTGCAGGTACTGTTACAGGCGTAAGTGCCGCACTGCAACGCGTTAGTTTACCGTTACAAGTATACTTTACCGTTCGACACCGAGCTCCCTTGTCGTATATCGATAACAGCTCGCCGCGCAGCGTCCCGCCGCGCCGCGCCGGCTCGACCGTCCCGAATACATCGATATCACGCCGCGACTCCCGCGATAGCGCCGGGCGCGGAAAATACCCGTCAAACGAAATTTACGATTCATCGTGCGAGATACACGGGCATTAAACGCGTCCGTCGTAAACTGTCCTGGCGTGCGTGCTACGGGCGCGATATTTCGCCTGACTGGCGAAATTGCGAGCACGGCTTCCGCCGATACGGAGGCGTCGATGAATGGACCGAACGTGTCTGCGTGTCTCAATCAGTCGTGTTTTGCGCGCGCCCCTGTGCTTCGCCGATCCCTTTATCTGTCTGTAATTTCGCTGCGGTTTGCGTTCTCGTGAAGCAATCCGTTACGCTATTCGTCGCTTCGTCGAATCGCGTCGATATCGCGTTACGCGCGAAGAGAGCAAGAGGGATACCTTCTTTCAATTTTGCAGAAATACCGACTATAGTTCAAATTTATTTTATAATTGACGCCACTGCTTTGAAAAAATGTACAGAGTTTCTCAATTCCTATGAGCTAAGAATATGAAAGTGCACGGAAAAAATGACTTACAATTAGTAATATATAGTGGCTAAATTTCAATAGCTGAATCAAACTTAGCTATAAGAGCTACACTATCGCGTTAGTGTCATTGCTAAGTTCTGGCTATATTACAAATGAAAAACATTCACTGTGACAAAAAATTTATTAACTGAAATTAAAAGCGTATATTAGTACAGGCAGCTAAAAAGATGGCATGCGTACCTAAATGTCTTATCATGCACACATTTAGCACACAGAACTAAGTTTTAAGCTACGCGTGAAAATTTGATTTGTAATTGTTTTTGCACTGCCATATGCATACCTACAGTGCATTTAGCATTTATGTCTTGCAGTATATAAGTTATATACTGCAAATATTATTACTCTATTGCGAAGATAAAGTAGGTAGATTCGGCTAAATATCATTTGATATTAGCAGCAAATATTTTTTGCTGTAGCATCTACGTTTTAATAACTAATAAATTGAACATCGGCCGCAACGACATTAGCTGTCCCTATTTCAACAACACATCTTAGCTGCCGTAGCTACATTTTAGCTTCATTGGCTAATCCTTTTTCTGCGTGTGTGCAGTTGCATTACGTATACCTTTGTTTTTCTAATTGATATTATAATCGAAGATACATGTAAAGTGGTATATATGAATTTTTGTAAACATTATTGTTCTGCCGTAATCCTGTACAACCGAGAAGATACCAGATACATTAAAATGAAAATACACCAGAACGAAGCGTCTCGATCGTTATCTCGCGGCCGCGCTCTCGGTAATTATCGATCTAATGGGATAAAGCTGTAATTAGTCCGGGTATTCAGAGATCGATGCCGCGGCGCGTATTAATGGCCGGATTTAAAGCTAGGGTACGGCGTGTCGCGGCGTGTTGTTTAATTAATTCGTTGCGTTGCTAATAGGAGATGGCCGCGGTGGCGCGCCATCGGCGGACGTAACGTGTAGTAATCATCGTTGATATTACTACTGCAATAATCCCGTTGATGTCATTGGTGTTGAAGGCGAATATGCGGGAAAAAAATGCCTTGCCTCAATCAGAAGCAGAATACACGAATTAAAGGCAGTTCGACACGGTCTCGTACAGTTCTTCATTTTTCTGCGTTAAAAGCCTTTTACCTTCTCGGTAAATTATTAGCCATATTTTTACCTACTTTTGTTTATATATTTTTATATGTTATTTTCTTATGTTCTCGCTCAACTACGATAATAGACGTTCGTGGAGATAGAATTTCTCGATGTATATACACGAGGTGGTGTGTGGTCTTTACACGTCTCGTCGTTCGATAACCGCGAAAGTAGAACCGAGAGACTTTCGCTTCCGCGAAGTTCCGCGTCGTCTTTTCTTTTCTTAGACTTGACGGCACATTTTGTAATATCGCGCGACATATAAATGTCGAGGTTTAACATCAATGGAGACTAGATTCTTTAACCTTGCCGCCTGCTGACTTATGTCGCGACTCCGCGTCGACCGGCTAACGGAATAGCGAGCGCGCGCCGCGGTGATTGATGTCAAAGGTAACGTTGTCGTTCGTTCCGCGGGGATGCGAAATTGCGCGCGCGCGCGTGTGTGTGTGTGTGTGTGTGTGCGCGCGCGCGGGGGCAGTAATTCGCAGATTGAATCTCGCATTGCGCAACAGTACGTTAATATCGTTGAACTGAAAAGACAACATTCGTCTCTGCAGGCGTTTCTGAAAAGATGTAAGCGGATTTATACGGCGTTCACCCTGCATGCCGCGGTTGCACGTAGAGAAAGGATTATAGCCAATACAGCTAAAATATAGCCGTGGCAGCTAATGTGTGTCTTTAAAATAGGGATAGCTCATATCGTTACTGCCAAAGCTAAATTTATCAGTTGTTAAAATTTAGGCGACGCAAGCCAAAAAATATTTGCTGCTAGAATCAAATGACGTTTAGCTAATTCTATTGAGGAATATATTGAATATATTAAGAAATATATTATATTGAGGAATAATATCCAGCAAATCTTTTAAATTTTTCAGCAAAATCATTCTTTCCGTATGCCACTTTCTTATAGATATACTCTTGTTAAAGTACGCTTTTATTTTAGCTAATAAAATTGTATCTCGCAACAAATATATTTTATCTTTAATAACTAACTTTTAGCAATGACAGTAAAGTTCGAACTAGCTACTGATATTTAGCTGATAACGCTAAGTTATTTTTTTTGCGTGTGGCCACGGGGGTATCTGACCCGCGACGTAATCCACGTTAAAAGGTTCAACCGGTTTAATCAGTCGATTACGGGAGCGATGATGACCGTCGATGGTAGCGAGGGCAATACTCCGTCACGCCGCAACGTGCAAGCGCGTAATCCGCTTTGGATAGCAACGAAAAAAAAAAAAAAAAAAACGAATCCAGAACGTTAAAATTATCGCGAATTGTGCGAATTCGTGAAATCTTTAATTGATCGCCGTATTTTCGAATCGTGTTGTTTTTCTTTCGTGAGAAAATAACTCCCGACAAACACATTCGCCTACGTCCATGCGTTCGATCTTTCCTCTCTATCGCCAAGCCGTGATTGTATACGTGATCTTTCATTTCATTCACATTCGCCATGCCGCGTTTAACCCCTCGCGTGGGTTTAGTGACGTCGATGCCATTTCTGAACTTCCTCCCTTCCGCGCCCGCACCATGCTCTCGCTCCTCGTGACTGAATATCTTTTTTTTCTTTCGATGTGATTACAGGGGCGTGTTACGCCGAGTTTGGAGTACGAGTGCCTCATACAACCGGCAGCGCTTATATGTACAGTTACGTGACAGTAGGCGAATTAATAGCATTCATTATTGGATGGAACATGGTGCTGGAGTACCTTATAGGTACGAGTGCGTGTGCGTGCGCCCTTAGCGCCTGCCTGGACGCGTTGGCGAACGGTGCTATTTCCGGGGCGATAGCCAACAGCGTTGGCACCATACTCGGTGAGTACTCACTTCGTATACTTTCTCGCCCACCCACGCAAGCAAACGATCGATTACTGCAAGACAAACAAATTTAATTGGCAGATTTTGTTGGGGGAAAAAATGAGAACGTAGTAAATTAAGGTAGACTAGCGTTTTATTTTTTAAATATTTTATCGAACATTTCACGTATCTGTTATACACTCGTATAATATTATACTGGGAATATTTTCATAAAATGTTTCTGTTCGGCAATTTATATATATTATAATTGGAAAATTTTCGTAAAATGTCTCTGTTGGGCAATCTATATATATATGTATATTTAGTACCTTTGCTGTACGCTTAATTAAACGTAACAATATTCGTACATATAATTTTTGGAACGTTCTGTACGAGTTTACCTTGGTCTTAGACGTTTCTTTGCGCGTAAGTGAGCCTTAAAGTTTCCCTTCCAGCTGCTCGTAAAAGCGTGAAACGACGAGTCACAGTCGCCGGCGTCGTCGTCGTCGGGAGCGACGTTGTAGAAATTTACGAGCGGACTCCCGCTTTTTCTCTTGCCGAGAGTTTAGTGACGTGAGTCCTTTGTTTCTCCAGCTCGATTACGGAACGCTCTCTATGCGTTTTTTCGCGATAAGGTGACGGCAGGAGCGATCGATGACTTGGCAAATGCGTCGCGCGCAAGCGATATGCGTTACTCATGTTCGGGGAATTCGCCAGCGAAATCCTCACGTAGTTTCCGATCGATAAAAGAGTCGGAGGAAAAGGGGAAAAGGGGAAAAGGGGAAAAAAGGAATACATATTATTTACATTATAATAGAAATAAAAATATATATGTACTTATAAAATATTCAATCAGTTATGCCCGATTGCACCGTTATTTTGACTTTAAGCGAGGCTTAAAACTCTTTTTCTCTCTCCCCATCTTAGGGTTTTAAAGAAAGACAGAGTTTTAAGCCTCGTTTAAAATCGAAATAACGTTGGTGTAATCAGGCCTTAATCATATAAAATAAAATAGTAATTTTTATCTCTTCGGCTAAAGACAAAGAGATTAATTATTCTTAATTTTTTAAGTTATTCAAGTTTTAATACTCGAAGAAAGCCACAAGCTGATCCCCCAAGTGATTAAAGTCTATATCCCCTGACTTCTTTGCGCGTAATAAGGCGAGTGAAGAAGTGGGATTTCCCCCATTAATCTCGCCGATCTCGCGTCAGATAATTAGCGACGATAGCACGAGCGGAAGACCGCTCGGCAAACAAAATACGTACACCTCGCACGTTTCGGGACGACGCGACGGCGCGGCGCGCGGCGTCACGACGTTACTGGGATTGTTAACTCGAAAAAAAAATCGTCACGCTCAGCCGAGTCCAATCCAATTTTCTAAAGCGAATTAATTTACTGAACAGGCTTTTCGTCGACGTGCAAAAAAAAAAGGGGAGACCGCGCGCGCGACGACAATCTGAACGCCACGGTTTTTCCTTGTTGACCGACGTTTATGTACGAAGCGTTCCGGCTCGGGTGCCCGACCTTAATTTTAACGACAGATTTTTTTAGTAAACTCGGAAGCACGAGTTCTCTTCTTACGGAAAATTTAGACGGAAGCGAGTCTCTCGCAGATTTTTAATACTAAATTTCGTTGATAATCGAATCACGAAAATAAAAGTCTGGATATTCCAGCGAGCAATAACGTTATTTCATTGTGTACTTAAACTAATCTCGCGCAAATTTGATCTGATTAAAAAAGGATCGAAGATCCTATTAATAAGATTAAGGTCGAGAGTTCCGAGACACGCTTCGAAAGGGAAGGACTTGTCCATTAATTTATGACACGCGTAGCCACAGGCGAAACGGATCGATCGCGCATACGAGTGCAAATTGCAGACCAGCTAATTCACGTCATATGTCCGTTTTATGAATATTTCGCATTCAGCAACGCTTGGTAGCGACATTAAGCCAATATTCTCTAATGCGGACGTCGATGTTTGAGGAGAACATATCGGAAAAACGCCGCGAATTTTAGTTATGACGCTGCTGGTCGAATAAACGGGTTACGGAGATACAATAGGATGTATAATTGGAAAGTTTTTACATCTGATGACGAAAAAATTTTTTGAATGCAATATGATAATTAGAATAATATTCTTTTGTTCTGTAAGGAAAGAAAAAGAGAATTTACGTCATTGTTTCATGATATACGTGTATATTCTAAAAGAAAAAAAATTCTCTCCCTTTCTTATACCTAATATTTTATATTTTTAAGAATTTGTCATATTTTAAATTTATGAAGGTTTCTGGAAAAATACCTTCAGCTCTTCTTTAGAAATTATATGGAATAAGAAATCTTAGAAAAGTCTTACAATATTTTAAAATTCACATATACATGAAGAATTCTAAGAAAATGTATGGATTTTCTCAATATTTCTGAAAAATGTATCAATTCGTATAAAAGATCTGAGGAATTTTCTAAAAAACTATAAAATTATAAAGAAAATTATAAAAATTCTGAAAAATTTGTGAAGAATTATTCTAAGAAAAAATTTCATCAGGGATGCTGCGGCCGTTATATTATATCCGACAAAAGTTGCATCTTACATGTTTGGCGCTTGCTAACATTTTTTTGGGGAAACTATTTCCGTTCAAACGCGAAGCAAGAGTAACCGTTGCGGTAAGACTAATGTTACAAAAGATTTCCCTTCCGTCCGTTCCCAGAGGCCATCTAATTCTCCGCGCGCTCCAATTCCCTCGGAATTTCTTGACGTTTGAATCTTTTTCCACGGCATTGTTAAAGAAAGTATAGCCTGACGTTCCTCTCGTCCGAGGCGAATTCAAGAGCGACGTGAGTGATTTCTCGTGTTACGACGTTTTCTGCTTGAATCAGTCTCTTATCCGTTAGTCAATTTTACGAGTAATTCACGGGGGATATTCCCGCGCCGGTTTTTCTATAGTCTCGAGACGGAATCGTGCGTATATATCTATTTCTATCGATTTTATCACCGCCGTAAATCGATACACCCATTATTTCGACCACGCGGTAAGCCGTGACGAACTGTTGTGCAAAACTGTAAATTTTATCGCGTGCGCGCCGCCCGTATTCAGTTTGTATTCAGTCCGTATTCGGCCGTGCGGCAACAACTTGTTAACCCGTGTAATTAAAAACATAATATATCCCTCGCCGGAGCTCAATAATAATTAATATGAATTCAGTGTTATTGAGTCTAATTAATTGCCCGCACGGCAGATCCATTAAAATGCGAATGAAATGAATGTTTCGCCGTTTTCCCGTTTCTCGCGATTAATAAATATCAATTAAACGTTAGACGTCATCGGTTTCCATTACACTCGCGATCGGTGTATTAATAGAATAGTATTAAACGCCGAGTTAATAAATATTGCCCACGTTAAGACGCTCTTTCGTGCAACACGTTGCACGTGACAATCAGTAGTAACCCCTGAAACTTACGCGAGTAGTCTCTCGGCTAATGAAAGCAACGTTGAATGAAAAAAAAGAATTATTAAATTACAGATACTCGTGGCGGATTATATTATTGCCATATTAATGCCATATTAATTAACCCGCCGTCCGTCCGGCGGGTTCTAGAAAAAGGAAGAATTTAATTAAACGCGGCTCTCCACGATATTGCACTTTTTTCTTTCTCCTCCCTCTCCCCCCCTCCCCTCCCCCCGACATATTTCCCATACAATCAAAAGTGCTCCACGTAAGAATGAACTTTTAACGGTATTAACGCACGTTTGCATTATGAGAATGCCGCACGTCCCCTATAAATTTCATTCACATTTCAGAAACTCATAAGAATAACGCGAGCCGCGCGCTCTTCGTCTTTTTAATACACGCGACACGCGAAAAATGTTAACGTCTGACACCGTTCGTAAATTCCGCCGGTGCTTTCGTCCCAAGGGGAGAATATGCTCTTTCGGAATTTGATGTGCGCCAGACGCATGGAAGTGCAATTGAGTACACTCGATTAAGTTGTGTATACCCGCGCACGCATGCCTTCCCACGCATGCAGAGAGAGAGAGAGAGAGTCATTCGTAAACTTGCGGAAATATCTGTTCAGTTCGAGAAATAATATTACCTTTGGATATAAAATTTTCAAAACGTTCGAACTGCTCGGGGGAAAAAGTCAATAGACTCTTCATAAATTGGATCTCTATATCCTTAGTATCAATATTGAAAAATAATATTGTCGTAAAAATATATTAATATCGAGGATACTTTGGAGAATATTAGGAAAAAAAATGACGATATAATGACCAACGTTTCGTCCACGTAATGTTCCGCGGAAGCTTAAAATTATTAATGGTTCGGTGTGCAAAGGGGTTGGCCGCCTTTATCAAACTTCTTTGTACAGGCGTGTCGCGGCAACGGGGAAAAGTTTCACTTGCGCCAGTGGAGGAAAAGTGGATGCGCCGCGACGGCAGCGACGGCGACGACGACGGCGGCGGCCAGCCGCAAAGTCGGTCAACCTTAATTAACTTTTTCTCGCGCGTCGTGCAGGAATTTGCAGATGAGTTTGCAACTCGGGCCAGCTGTAACGGGTTCGCGCATAGAGAACGCGTATAATTGTTCGCGCTCGCAAGCGCATCGCGAGCCGAATCGAGTCGCGCTCGTTCGCGGAATTCGACGCGGCGTCGAGAAACCCGATCGGATTAATTTCGAAAAATATTTACGGGACGATGGAAGTTCCCCGTGAAATATATTCGATGATATCGATACGGAGAAATCGACACCGAGAGAAACGACGTAATTCGCGACTCGGTTGAAATAACACGGCGAATTTGCGCACCGCTCCGGAGTTCGTCGGTTCGATTATCCAAATATAAACGTGAAAATCCGGGGGGGGGGGAGGCAAGAAGTGAGGGCTCCGAAGGGTTTCTCCTAATCTTCTATAAACCTTCTCTAGGTATCAGGATTTTTTTTCCGGATCCATTGGCGTTAACCCGATAGGGTTTAAGGTCTCCGAAAATCCTTTCGTTCCTTCATCAGGTACGGCCATCGTAA